CTCTTCTTGTAACATATATCTCTATTAAGAATTAATGTAATTTAAAAATGGTCCCGTGCATAAATGTAGAAGTGTGCACACATAACACAGTGGCTGTGTAATTATTCACACAACAATTGGTGATAAAATATCAGATCCTCATATATTCTCTGTCAAACACACTACATTATGCACCTATTGTGCAATCATAAATCTATCCATGATACCATTTCTACACAAGTGTTCTGCTCCAGACTGAAATGGTATTGATTTGTCTTTTCTTTGCTCCTGTTTCCAGTGAATGGGAGACTCTGTAAGTAACCCCTGTGTGCTCCGATGCTGTGTCTGCATGTAACTGCATGTTTTTGTCACATGTTACATTTGCAGCTTGTTTTGGCTTTTGAATGTTAAGTTTGAGCCTCCGGATCATTAGATGAGCGGGCATGCTGTAGTTCTGGATGTTAAATTGTTAAAGCATGTTTTGTAGTTCACTGATTCTAGTGCTTTGATGCAGAAATCAGTCAAATGTGCGGAGGATGCACACAGCAGTGAAGCTCAATGAAGTTGTGAAAAAGAAATCGAAGGAGTCACAGCTGGTCCTGCTCAACATGCCGGGCCCTCCGAAGAACAAGAAAGGGGATGAGAACTGTATCCTTTAAACACAGATTCTATTGTATCTTAGACCACCATATGAACTATGTATATCTAAATCAGGAAAAATCCAGGAATTAACCGGGATTCCAGATGCCTACTTAAATTTGTCAAGTATGACACCTGAATGAAGCTGCAAGACATAAACTGTAATTAGGGCTGGGCAAAAAATCTATAAAAGTCATTAATCAAATTTTTAGTTCACATTGATTTATTTAGAAGAAAATGTATTTAATTTAGGCTACTCACTGCAGTCAAAGGGACCAAAGTTTTAGAAGTGACTTTGAAGTCAGACATCAGAGATGTCAAATTAAACATGACACTGCAAATCATGTATTTTGGCCCTACATCGGTTACATGTTTAATGCAGCCCCAGCACTGTTTATTTTATCTCATTTATAATGGAGATAGATTTTCTTTTAATCAGCAACTTTATTTTTAGGCTAAATCGCCCAGCCCTAACTTTAAACAAACCAGACATGACCAGGACTAAACCAGGACTCAAATGGATCCAAATGCGGACATAAGACAAACGCCTTGTAATCATTCGATAACTGAAATTAATTTCCGTGGATGAATATCATGAAAAATGTTGTCCTCAACCAGAGCTAAAGCAAACTGTAAACATTACAAATCAGACTACATCAGGACTAATATGTGGTCAAAATCAGTCAGAGCATGATTAAAAGAATTAGTTTCTCTGTAAAGATAAGTCTGCAAATCATTTCAACTTCTATGTTAAACATATTTTGCTTTGGTACTATTTTACCTTAATCAGATCCCTCAGATATGGAGTTTCTTGAGGTTCTTACAGAAGGCCTGGACAGGGTCTTGTTGGTGCGAGGAGGAGGTCGAGAGATCATCACCATCTACTCCTAGTGCCATAGTGCCATAGTGCCATAGTGCCATCCTGTGGATAGATACAATATTACACATTCTAATTGTGAACAAAAAAGTGATACTTGGTTTGGCTGAAGATACAAGTGCCATAATTAAGGAGGATGTCTTCATAATTTCAAAAGGAATTGAACAAAAGATGCATTTTAATATTGGTTCATTATACTTTGATGTATACAAGTATTATTTTATGCTAGTTCTTTTCAATAAGAAAGGTTAATTGAGAGGATGCTGTATTTATTTTAACACTACTGACCTAAAAACACTTTTATGTTCATTTTATGGTAAATGCCCAACAATAGCATGTTTTATTTGTACTGCATCTAATTCAGTACATCCTGTCTCTCTCTCTTTTAAGCAGTGATATGAAATAGTGCTGGCAACTGTTTTTTTAAGTTGTATATATGAGTAAATATCCTTTTAAAGATGGTTCAGCTGTATTTTATTTTAATGAATTAATATAAAAAACACCTTCAGTGATGGTGCTTTACAAATCACTATATCTACATTCATTTCTTCAAGATGTATATTTTGATATAACATTTGTTTAAACCTGCATATGGACTAAGTAGCCACTGTGGTTCACAGAGTTCATAGATAAAACGTTTGTTGCATTGCTGACCTCTTGTGGTTCAAATTCGTTATTAATTTTGGATCCACAAAAATACAATTGGTCCATAATTGTTATAATCAAATACCTCTTCTTTTGTGTGTGTGTGTGTTAGTACATTTATAAATTTCAATAGTAGACAGACACTCCCATATCATGAGCAAAAACATACTGGCACACTGCAGTTACAGTTAGTCTTGATTGATTCTGACGTAATTTCTCTGATTAGTGTCGGCTCAGTTCATTGTTATTTCCCTTCCTGTTCTTCTGACCTACTTTGCAATTAGTGCCATGTATTTCATCATTTTCAAGAATGCCTTTGTAGATAACACTATATGACCAAATACATTTTACATGAATCCAGTTTGTGAGAAATAATACTTAGGGTAGTAATGTTGTTACCATAACTTGTCAAAGCAAATTAAACTAATAATCATTGTTTTCCATTAGTGTTGTCATAAGATATCTTGGAAATACAATAAGATCTTGTGGAGATACTTGGCCCTGGATAAATGCCTTCCTGTCTCTCCCACAGAGCAGCGTGGTTGGGTCAGAACGCACCGAGGATACAATCACAGTGTGAGCTACACTCTGCAGTCTGCAGTCCCCCCTCGCTGCCCAGTCAAACACACAACATTTACTGCCACTTTACAGTTTCCTCCTATTGTAATCGAGACCTGCAGCCAAAACTAATACAAAAGACAAATTCCATGTGTTTGTACAAATTACAGAGGGAACTGAACAGAAGATTTATATGGCAGGAGATTGAGCAATGCTAAATGAGAACAACACCTACATGGCATATTCATTTTGGAGGTGTCTAATTTTATAAAAACAAATATATGATGATTAGTACCAGTCTTCTAGTTTAAGGGTTACATTGGAAAAGAATATCTCACAATGGTTCCTGTTCAACAGAGTAATATTTTTACTGTCTGTCCATTTGGTATTTGTAATTCTCTCCTTGGTCTCTATAACTTTACTGAAAATGTACCTTAGTTATATTCAACTACAGCAACTTTTCTATTTCTCTCATTCCGTGACAACAAAGTAAGGATTTTATTTATGTGCTTCACGTAATTATGATCCAAACTGTCAATCTGTTCTATTAATCACCTTTTTTTAGTTAATAATAATGCTCTTAATAATAATTAAGCTGCTATGTCTAGATTAAGCAAACTTGGACCAGAATCTCCCTTTGTTTTTTTTATCAGTAATGTTAATTGTTAATTGTTACCTTTGCTAGTGCTGCCACCAAGAGATTTTTTAAATCACAATTGTCTATTGTCGTCTGGATTATATTGTAACTGCTCATTTTGATCTACAAATGCTCCGATTATTATCTGAACAAAATCTGAAAGATGTGTCAGGAAGCACAGAGGATGCCGGTTGAGAAGAGGAAGAGAGAGTGAGGAAAAGGTCCACCCTTTCTTTTACTTAGAGTCATTATCATTCCTGGATCTAATGAACGGGTGTTAACATCACAACATGCACAATTTCACTGAGTCGTCTTTCGACCCTTCTGACCTCTGCAGGTTTTGGTTCTCCGGATTAGGAACGCCTGTTTGTGAAGTTGATTTGGAGGATTTTTGAGATATAGAATGAAAAGAAAAAGAAAAAAAATCTGTGTAGTATAATCACATATGAATAAAGATATTCCATAGTGTATTGAGTCCATGTCACTTCTCCCCCTTGTGGTGAAATGTTATACTTGCATACAACACATAATATGGATTACAGTGCATAGATTATTTTATGTTTATCCAACTTCTGTCAATGTTATGAGGAATTAAAAATATTGGTGTGTTTTGTAAGTAGTCTCTTCAATATCAAATGTGTTGAGTGAATGTATTTGCTTATATTGAATGGGTCTGTTTTCTATATTGAGTTGTTCCCTTGTCTTTTCTCTCATCTATTCTTGTTTGGTTGTACTTTAAGCCAAGGCAGTAAATCTGGTCCCGATTACACATCTGAGTTGACCAACTATATTGTGTAATTTTGCACTGGCAATAAAATTCCCCTTTAAGAAACCTAACTCTACTGAGCTCTTCTGCTGTCTGTGAGGGTGTAGAATAAACTGGGACAAGGTTAATTTTCCTGTCGGACAAATTGAAGATGTAGTCACTTGAGCAGTTAACAATTGATGGACAAATTATATGTTTTGGACATAAAAGAGCTCTTTGGAGATTACTCCCCCAGTGACAAAATGACTCAAATATGTGGCCTTATTTCATGTCTCAATATAGAAAGGTGCGAATTTACACAAGAAAGTGACCTGATGTTCTGCAAAAAAATGTGTAAATAATATATTACTAATTTGCAGATGTACATAGTAAGTATTACTATTATACTACCGTATTAATGTTATTTCTACATCTAATACTGTTTTATAGCTATTACCATTTACTATAAATTCTTCTCTACTGTTATAACAATTAGTCCATTATGACAAATAATGACATAGAAACATTCTGGTTTTGAGATGAAAGGTAAAATACATTTTAAAACTGTTAAATGAATTACTTGGATGTGTCCAGTTGCTTCTAGTTGATTTTGGTCTCAACTCTCATTCTGTATTAAATGATTTTTATCTAATCACCCCAAACAATTTGAAGATAAGTCATTTCCTTGTTTTATCATGTAAGCTAAATGGCAGTGTTTTATGTTTTCCAGTAGATGTATTTCCTCATGATCTTACCTCCACCTTCATTATTATACATGTATTTAAATTACCTTCAGGCAGCACCAAATTGGGAGAGAGGGTCCACTCAGGGCAGTGAGGGGAGGGGTGGCTTTTTTCCTTCAAGAGACTCATATTTCCCCAAACGTCGTGGGCCCAGAGTCACCCAGCTCCAAACTGAGGAGGTCTTTGTACTGGGACACAGGCACACATCTAGAGGGGAGAGAGAGCGAGTGAGAGAGACAGAGGGAGACAGAGAGAGAGAGAAGTTTAGTCTGACTTCAGGTCTGCACTGCCACGGTCCGCAATCCCATCATACACTCATGCACTTGGAGCTCAAATCTGGATTATAACTTCTCTTATTGGGAAAATGAACAACCAGGGGTAAGTAGAACCATGTATTTCATCTCTACTAGACACAGATTTTTATAATTCCACATCTAATATACTATACATCTTACTTTTATATACAGTGTTTGTTTATGAATGAAGTTTATTTAATGAAAGTTGTAAAATATTTAACTCTTTCTGTGTGTGATGTGCTACCCCTCAGGTGGTCCCACGCCCTGCACCTCGTCCTGCTGTGCTCACTGGGGACTGCCCTGCAGGTTATTGAAGGTTAGGCTCACACTGTTACTACTTTCTAATGTTTTTTAAAGTTCTGAAACGCTTAAAATGGACATGGTCACACTATGTTGACAATACAATAGGCAAAATTAAGTAAGTTAGGTAAATCATTTGATATATCCTTCTTGTGTGCTACTTTAGATGATGATGTATAAGCAAGGTCCCGTAAAATTTTACATATTAATGCAATGGTAAAAAGGTTCCAAAGGTAGTTTCAAAAGTAGTTTGAAATCCAAACTCCTGGATGAAAGAGAAAGTACACTGACATATTAAGTTAAGACAATGGTTTAATTCAACATTTGAGACATGCTAGTTCTCAGAGATGCCCCTATGCTGTATCATGTGAGGTACTGCAGCAGACTGATTTGATTTAAATGCTGAAACAGGTTGTCCTTACATGACAGATGCTACAAAGTTCAGCTCTCAATTTAGTTTTAATGGAGCAAAACTTTTGAACACAACACAAGGATCTGGCAGGATGTGTGGCATTACAGTCGGCTTATTTGAAATCACATCTCAGTGGTGAAGGATGAGCTATAGATTAGTCAATGCTAACATGACAATCTGTGCTGTGAATTGCACATCTAAACACATTTAGATGAGAAGACATTTAATATTGGGCTTTGCTTTGATTGTTTGTCAGAGTGCAAGAGAGATTTAATGATTTGTAGCCTCAAACAGATATAATTGAGCGCTTTCCAAATCTGAATCAACATTTGGTAAAGTGTCAAAAAATAGTTCCCGAGGACATCCACAGGTCACAGCTAACAGTGAACTACTCCTACCCATCAATTATCTATTTGAATCACAATAGACTGGCATGCCCTGAATCTCATTGGCCATGCCCTCCCATTAAGAAGGATAGGTCCTCCACACATTTCCATTTTCACACCTCTGCCGTGGTCAGACGCTTCCCACTGTGTTGCCTTTCTCATTCAGCTCTATGGGAGGGCAAGACAGTGGCGGGCATGTTTATTTAGTAACATGTCCTCCTTGTGTCTCGCCTTGTGTCTCTGTTATATGCTGTGTGGTTGTGGGTGTGTGTGAGAGATGGAGGCAGACTAGGCAAACGCTGCACCAGGGTGAGAAGTCCAATGTTTAGTTTGTATGCTAATGTCTGCACACGTTTCCTCTCCAATCTGCACTTGTTGTTTGGGTGCGATTGGCATTTGGGGATGGACAGCGGAGGTGATGAGGGTGTGGCTTTGAATTGTACCCAGGGTTGTTCTCGCAGCACTTTTTGTGTTGAGGAGAAGCTAAGTAATGGGAGTGAATGGGAGTAATTGACTGATTATGATAATGGTCACAATGCCAAATTTCCCTTGTGGATCAATAAAGTTTGTCTAAGTCTATGTATTGAGCATAAACACAGACAGTGAAATTGGAAATTACTTAATAGTGAAGGTACTCTATGTAAGATTTTTGATGGAGAGTTCACCCAGTTCATGTCTCAATAGGGATATTTTTTATTTTCCTGGAATGTTCCAAAGTATTGCATACAAAATATATTTTTTCCATATAGACACAAAGGAGATGCAACAAAGATAGTAAGTATGCATGTAAATTTAATTGAATAAATGCAAAATTTATTAAGGCCATGTTGTGGAACAAGCGATATCTCCATGGATATACAGTATCTACCAGAACAGTTACAGAGTGCACCTTTAAATATTATATACACAATTATTTGTTTATATGCAATGTTTCTCAGGTTGTATGCCATGTTTCTCAAAGTTGTGCTTTGATCATTTATAGCCATGTTTACTTAAACAACTTGAAACTAATCAAACATTTTGAAAGAATTTTTGGTACAGAGCAAAAACTACACAACATTTCACAAACCAATTGGCATCACTTTAACCAAATCCATTCTCACTCTCACCATAGTAACTTGCCTATCCAGTATTTTGGCATAGTTCATTCTAACTTTATCAACTTCCCCAGCACTGTTGCCATACATTGCATTTTTATCACTCCTTTATTTTACTTTTTCTTCTGAAGGACCAAGTTTATCTCATATACGGCACAACAATTTCTCCCCCACTATTTGATGAGAAAATACCAGTCTGCCCACCTTCCTGTTGTGGTTTTGATCACTCCCAAAAACTGTTGCTAAAAGGGACACCTCTTTATCTTAATATTTCCGTGCTCCAAACTTCACCCCGTCGTAAAAAACATACCTAATATTTCTGTCGCCCGGAACCTTCACTTTGTATTTGCTGTTGCATGAGTAGCTCTGAAAAGGTCCCATGTTTAGCCAATATAAAGGATTCTGAAGTGAGCTCAGTGGGTGTCTAGCTGGTTTTAGAGACACTGTCCTGTCTACTGTAACAGGGTCTAAATTGAAGGCAAAAGTAGCACTGCAAAACACATGAAAGTTGCTTTAAATATAAGTAAATGTTTGTGTCTTCAATATACCATGTAGAGAAGACAGTTGTACTTCATATACTTTCAATTTGGCAATAGAAAGTAGCACTAGTGGTCTCGTCTAGTGGTATCAGTGTAACAAATCTGAACTATACTGGAATAGCATGCATACTTCCATGATGTTTTTAAAAATAGAATGAAAACTGATTGTTCTGACAACTGATTGAAAGTTTTCTTTTTATACAGTGCACATTAAAAAATGTCGTGGGAGTAGCTAGAGAGAAAAGAGTGATAGAGTGATCTGCAGATTGCAACTATTCAACTGCAATTTCAGTTTGATTGCAATTATCCAATCAGCCCTAGTTTAATTCTTAAATAAATTGAACATCAAATCACTACACACACATGATTTACTGTAACTACTGTAGAATCCTTGTGCATGTAGGCTACCGGCACCTCTGTTTATGGCCAGAAACTCCAGTGGCATAATTCAAAATCAGTCACTTTAGGCATATTTGCTGGACTTTCCAATATAAAAACTGTGATTATGACTGCTGACTGCTCCATTGAGAGATGGTTGAAAATGCCCAAACCTTTAATGTTCTTTATATTACATTAAAGGATTGAGCACCCTGTCTCTGCAGCCACCATGTCCTGTCTGGACTGTGCCCATTGAATGATGCGCTGACTTTGATTTGAACAAAGTTAGGCACATTGAAGCAACTGTAAATAGGTGTCATAGACATTAATGCATAATGGATACCTCTATGGCATAGTAATAGGAAAAATGCCAGTCAGTGGAAATCTGAATACAAAAAAAGTGTTTCTTTTTGAGGGTTTTTAGACTTTTATTTGCAAGGTTTTCCATGACGTCACTGAGATCATGTTCTTCTCCCAACTGTAAACTCTAGCTGAGTTTATAATATGCAAAGAAAGGGACTAGTGTTTAGCAGCCATGGGAAATTCAAGTTATATGCAGAAAGCCTTGACCTGGTTTAAGAGGATCTATGAAACTGTCTGGGGTTCTGGCTTTTGGTGTTTGGGGCATCACTGCCATGGTAACTTGTTAAAAAGCTGAGTATGAATCCAAACTATTGTGTTGATCATCTGTGTGATATCAGTGAGATCATCTAACAAGGACACTTTGTTAGGTCAAAATACATGACTACAAACCCAGTTTTATTTATGGCAATATTGACTCTTTTGACCATTTTATGTCCTTTATGACTGTTATTTGAAAATATTATTAATTTCTTTTTAAGTTCTAGAAGAAATAATTCATTATGGTGTGCTATTATTGCGTTAACAGCTAAAATCAAATACAATTGTGTATTTCTGATGAGAGTAATAAGTGATTTATGTGGTGGCAATTAATAATGTAGTAAAAGGAATTAAGTCATTGTAGTAAACAGCAAAAAATTAAGCCTAGTAGTTATTTGTCTTATAGTTAAAATCACTGGGCAACTAAATGCATTGGTGTAATATCTGTAGGGAGCTGTAATAAAAATCCCACCTAAATCTATAACAGGCTTTGGCTACTTCTTCTTCCACTTCTAGTTACCCTATTACAGACATGGTACATTTAAAAGCCATATTTAAAGTGCATTTTTCTCTATTAGTTTTGCACAGTACTAGTGTTTGTTGTGTTGCCCAGTGGGATGATGGTCATCTGCCAAACCAACTGTAAATATGAGGTTACATTTTCCTGTCCCAGTTCACATCAAATGTCAAACACAATGCAACCCACTCGCACTAGACAAACTGGGATGACATCATAGGCCAGCACCACATCCCAGAACCTCAATCAACTGTTCACACTGACAACGCATGTATTCACACATCATTATATGCAAGATCATATGAGGAAATGGAGGAGCTTTTTACTGTGTCTCAGGGTCGTTCGTATTGGAGGAGGTTGTTTATTCACAGGACGACACTTGCAGCTGGGCAAACACCTCCAGTAAACCGCCTTTGCGCAGACTGCATTGACAAAGAGCACTGGGAAGAGAAATACTCAGAATTACATAATGTATATTCATACATTAGACACAAGGAAATGCATTTAAATGTGTTTTTATACTGTAAAGCACATTAGAAATGTTACAATGTACTATTTTCATGTTGTGATTATTGTGAGAAGAAGCATTGCGCTTTTTAGATTATTCAAGATTATTGAAACCATTAGTAACAGTGAAATTCTTAATATTTATTCACTTTTGCTATTGCACTTCATTTCTTTATTATGTAATCAGCTTCATGAAAGCAAACATAAACAAACAAAATAATCATTTGGGAAGAATACATTGAGAAAGACCTATTTTGGCTTATAACATTTTCAGAGCTATTTATTTTTTGTCCACATTGTGACCTGAATAATCATAATTATTGACCATTGGAATAATCTTGTCTTGACATTCCTTTGCTTTTGATGTATGTTACTGTGGTCCACTTGTTGAATCACTGTGCAAGACCTTTGGGAGAATTTTATTACCATAATTTTCAAAGTAAAAAATGTTTAGTAATAAACTGACGCCAATTAAAAAAAAGGTTAAAAGTAATGATCTATAATGGTGTGTCTGATTTCTCTGGTCTGAAGAGGGAATTTAGGTGCAGGATTGGCCCTG